TTAGATAGATAAAACTCGAGTAAAAAAATCATTATAATGATAAGGAAGTAAGGTGAGTAACGAACTCGATGTACCAGAGTGGAATTTTATTTATATGAACAATGAAATAAAATAAAAATTAGATTAAATAGAATCAAAAATAAAGTTAAGCCTACCAAGTGGTCGATTTCGCGCATCTCTTCATCACTTAATTCGTACATTCCATCATCGGAAGAGGATGATTTTTCTTTGTTTATTGTCTGATGAATTCCACTGGAAATGGAAGCGTCTGCGAGTGCACTATTGAGAGATGCAGATGCTGACGTAGATTCAGGTGAAAACAGTACTGGGTTGTGCAAATGATGTTCAGTTTGCTTGTTTGATTCGGAAGAAGGGCTACTAATTGTGGCATCGGCGGGACTTCCTTCGTCAACAATATTGAGGTTATCGCCCTCAGATGAGCCTTTATTCGAGATTTCAATCGAATCATTAACCGGGATCGCAGGGTTGTTATTAGCATCGCATTCAGTGGAGTTATTTGAAATAGGCGCTCCTGTTATTGATGCTTTGACGGAAACAAATGAAACAGAGGAAGACAGTGACGTCTGCAAACTAGTTGGACTGCTTACAGGAGCGAATGTAGAGACAGGCGGAGAGTTCACAACTGCTTGAGATGATACAGTCGATATAAGGTTAGGATGCGGTAATAATGTAGACGGAATTGGATGTGAATTAGCTTGAAGCAAACCAGATTGAGACAAGTTAGTAGCAAGTGATTGAGAAACTGTAGGATGCAGAAATGGAATGTAGTCAGGTATAGTCTGGTCTGGTTGCTTTGGATTTAAAGAATTGCAATCAGAATAGGAATCAAAATCAAGAGAATTGGACGGATTTTCTGGTTTAACCACCGCTTGTTGCTGAACGACCACTCGATGTTGTTGTTGGTACTGGGGTCGTTTTGAAGAATAAGAGGGTTGTACCGTAATATTTACCGGAACGACTACCTTCTCAGCTAGTTCGATTGGTTGAAAGACGGATGTTTGAGCTGGCGAGTGCAAAGCCAACGGATTCTGCTCATTGTTTAGCGATTTAAAAGCCAAATTATGGGTAGAAAAATTATTTGTGTTTTGTTGAGAAAAAGAATATCCAGGAGAAACAGTTGGAAACGCAATGAAAGCGGCGCCAGAACTTGAACCAGGTGAACTATAAATACAGCTAGGTGTCAACTCATTGTGTATGTCATAAGCCAAAGCAAGTGCATTCCCAAGGCCGAGGCTTCCAATATGAACTTCAGAACTTTCTTCCAAAACGGTTCCAATGGAATTAACAGGGCCGTCATTAGGTCTCTAAGAAATTATCAGGAATAAACCAGTATATTTTAGTATGTTAAGAACACGATTAAAAGTATATCAAAAATTCCACCAACTTACACACAGTTGATTTGTATTGCTTGTGGCATTTAGGTAATTTGACATATTTAGAGTACATTGGAAAGGGCAAAGAGAAAAAAACGACCTGAGAGACGCCTCCGTAAATTAACAAGAGCCCAAAAAAAAATACTGGTATAAACAATTTTTAAAAACTTACTTAAACGCTATTGTATTATTTAATTTTTAAATATCTTTTTCTTTATAAATTATATTTTTATGTATTTATGTTTTTGGCCATTTTTCAAAAGACAATGTCGGGTTTATGTAGTAGTGCTTCTTGCTTTTTCCTTTACGGATGCTTAACTTTCCTTGGGGTTTTTCAATATATTACGAGGGTTGCAATCTGAAATTTCTCATTCTCTTACTCAATGGACATTTTTCCAAGATCACAATTGCTGAGGAATCCTCAATATAACCGCAGATTAACACCCTGTCTTCAAATTGACCACAAACAATCTGTGAGCTGCCAAAAAGTAAATTTCTTTCCTTATTATGTATATTTTAGACTGGGATGCTCGCTTTTGATAACTCTTTTTTACTGAATGAAAACGTTGCTATAGCTGATATAACGAATTTTGATTATGAAGACTTTGCTGTAAATTACTTTGTATTTGGTTATTATTTTTAAAGAAACAAATCACTTTAATCGAGACTAAATATTTCAAGGCTATTAAACGAGAGGTTTGTTTTTTTACAATACCCTTATTTGCTTAGGAGTTTCAAAGCCTCAAATGGACTGGCCGAGAGAAGCATATTTATGCTCCAAATATTGTTGCATCTACTCGATGGTTTAACCAAGTATGTATACTTAGGTTTCTAATAAATTCGGTGCCTTTAGGTTAACTTTTGGGTCCAGAAAGAGATTCTTAAATATCCTAATGTCAACAAACGCACCGAAATTCTATCATTCTTTATAAAAATGGCCAAGGTATGTCCCACTTATATTACATTGCCTTGCAATGTTCTTTTCTGTATGCCGTCAGTTAATTAATCTTTTTTTTCTGATTCGTTGCTTTTGCCATTGCCTTAGAAACTCGTTGAGTTGAATAATCTATATTCTGCCATGTCGATCGTCTCGGCACTTCAAGTTGAATGTGTTTATAGATTGCGGCACACTTGGGCTGGCCTGGGAAATAGGGACCGAGCTTCATATAGACGATTGGAGGGATTATTTAGCCAAGAAGACAATTGCAGACGCCTCCGCGAGGTCACTACCAACATGCGTAGACCATGTATTCCTTATCTAGGTGAGGTTGCTATTTACATAAACATATGTGCTAGAATACTTTAATGTATATAAGTTAATTTTGGCTGATCCATTAAGTAGAACTTTGTAACAATTTTGGTATTGTCTTATCTTGTCCGCACTATGTTTCCCTTTCGCTAATTCAATAAAACTAGTTGATATTTCTACTTTTTTTCATCTCATTGAAATTCATAGATATTTAATATTCTATATGTTTTTCCGCAATAAACATATCTTGTCATTACTTGACTGCCTGT